TATATATATATATATATATATATAATTTCCAATGGATCTATTCACACATTGCGTTTAGATGGTTTTATCCGCAGGCAGTTTAGCTGCTTTTCGAAAAAATACGTCCAAGAATTGAACTTCTAAAAGCACCAAAACGCATGTAAACGCTAGCTGTGTTTTATTTTCTAAAATCTCATTGGCTACTTCAATGGACTGTTTTAGTGGACGAAGGACAGATGCTTCTAAACACATATTCGTGTAAATGCGCGTCATGTTAAGCATCTAGAAGCATAAACAAAGTATCTAGCCTGACAGATTTTGCAGACAGATCTCTGCATAAAAACGCAAGTGTGAATGAAGCCTAAAATCGTTTCAAATTTGAGTATTTTTTTTTATTTTTTTAGGGTTTTTTTTGCTTCTTTTACCTGTGTTTGCATACTTTACCTGGCTAATAAAGTACTGTATATAGTTTTTGTTGGCGATATTTAAAAAAAAAAAAAAAAAAAATTAACAATATGCAGTGTTCTGGTTAAAAAAAATTGCTAAAATTGTCTCATTTTAGAGCTGGAGGCTGCTTTAATGGTTTGTGTACATTGCAACTAGCTGATCCTGTGCAAATGTAGATAAGACCTGAAATCTTTCTTCTATGTAACCATCATGGATTTGCCAGCAATACTCTGTGTATATATAATATATTGCGATTGCCTAAGGAATTGACAGCCATTTACTGCAATACTGTGTCTGTGGTCAAGTTTAAAGGAAATGTAATGTATGTTCTGTTTTTTTTTTTTTTTTTTTATTCCTTTTTTTTGGGGGCATATTAGCGCAATTTGCCCCCATAGATTGAATAGGAAACACGTTTCACAATTATTTTGCATGTTTTCTTCGCATGTTTTACGTGTGTTTCCCATTTACAACAATATGTCCCAATATGCTCACAAAAAATGTGTGTCTTAATATACGCACTGAAACGCGTATACAAAAAAAAACATAATCCGCACTGAAACGGTATTGCCTAGGTGTCAATGAAGCCTTAACGGTTTACTGCATTTGAAGCTGCTTTATATTAGCTCTACGTCGGGATCCGC